CCCTGGGGACAACTGTAACAAAATTAATCTATTATAATTTGCAATTTTTTGGTAATATCTTGTATTACTATATTTATGTCTTCAAATTTATATATTCAATTTTTAAACCCTGATATAATGGCATTAAAAAATAGAATTGACTCAGAATGGTGGACCACCCAGGAATGTGATTAATGCCCTTATGAAAGGCATTCTGGAGTGCATTCTCACCCATTCTGCATTTTATGGATAAATGGAGATGGTAGTAGTTTGGAATAGGATGGAAGAAGGTTCTCACTTGGACCCAATTCTTTTGGCATCATAACCTTGAACTGCCAACTTCCATATATTGTTGTTTATAAGAAATCCATGCTACAGTAATTTGTATTATCAATTGACCTAAGACAATTTTCAAATTTTACAGATACCACAATAAGAAATATGATAATCTTTTGTCATTATTGCTGTAATTTATTCTTTGTGCATTTTTGAAGTTTTCTTTTGAACTATAGTCAAAGGCTATAGTCAAACCTATAGTCAAAGTTTGAAGTATTTTAGGAGTGTAAGAAAGATGGCATATTATTATTCTACTAGGAAAAAAGACCAAGTTAACCTAAAGCAAGCAGAAAAAAGAAAATAATAAAGATTAGATCAGAAAGATGAAATTAAAATCAATAGCAAAATTATGTACAGAGGCCGGTTCTTTCCAAAACATCATACAGTTTGAAAAATATATTAATCTCTACCTAGATAAATGAAGAGTGACAGAGAGAGAGAGAGAGAGAGAGAGAGAGAGAGAGACAGAGAGAGAGAGAGAGAGGCTGACAGATCAAGAGGGGAGGAAAAGACAGAGCTAGAGAAACAGGAAGAGAGGATATAAATATGAAATTTTATCAGAAATGAAATAAAAATTAATGACTCTACTGATGTTAGAAAAATTACATACAATTCTATGAACTCTGTCTCCACATAGATCAATTTCTTGAAAGAAACTACAAAGTTTTGCATGGAAAAATAAATAATTTCATTAATCACACATACATAATTAGCAGCATATATACATATGTATATACACACAAATATATGCATTTATACATAGACACACATAAATATATAAATACACACATATACAGTATAATACTTTCCAAAACTGAAGAAAAAATTTCTTCTAGAATCAAATAATATTGTCATCGGTTGTTCATTTAAAAATGACTTGCCAGAGCTGGTGATTTAGCTCAGTGGTCCGGGGCCTGCCTTGCAAGCACAAGGTCCCGAGTTCGATCCCCAGTAACAAAAAAAAAATCCAAAAATGACTTGCCAATTAAAAATATTCCAGGTCCTTTTTGCCTCAAACATAGAATTGGACAAGACAACCCAAAAACTGTGGGAAAAGTTTATTTTTAAAATGAGGGTGAAGGGGTAAGAGAAGAAGTAGCTCTGTGAAGCAAATCCTGGCCAAACAAAAGAAAAGATAGAAACAAAAGTAAAAGTGCCCTCTGCTTCCAGAAGACATAGAGTAGGCTTCCTTGAGGAGTCATGAGAGCGAGCTCTTCCTGGGGTCTGGTCCCTTTTATGCCATCCACATCTTGTGGGAGTCTGCAAGAAATTCTACATAAGGGGTCCTGAGATTCATCTGCAGCTGCTGCTGACCTGGGATCTTGCAATTAACAGGTCCCGCCCATTTCTCCTGACAGCTTTGCCACACCCTTCCTCTTATATCATTGTCACTGATGAATTCCACCAATTATTACAAGCAAAGAAAAGTACTGATCAGTAAGTATCTCACATAAGCAAGATGCAAATATTCTTGACAACATAATAACAACTCCAGCTATTTGAAGGAAGGATGGTATGTAACCACCAATACGGCACATCATGTATAAAAATATTTCATTACAACCTCCTATATTACCAAATTAAAAAGAAAAATAATATATGATCATTTCTATAGACAAATAAAAATAATTTGATAATATTTAAAATACATTCATGATAAAAATTATCAACACATTGTAATTAGAAGAAAATACACATACAAAAATTTCTGGGTAATATTATACTTCTGGATCAAATGCTAACTGATTTTCTTGTAAACTGAGAATAAGGGAAGGATGTATTCTTTCACTATCCCAATACAACATAGAACTAGAAATCCTAGCCCATGAAATAAACAAGAGAAAGAAAGAAAACGTACAATTTGGAAAGAATAGAATGTTCAGTTAGGGAAATGGATGAAAAGTCAAAGCAAATTGACAAAAATCTTGTGGTCTAGTTTATTACAAAACTATCGCAAAAGAAGGAAGTTGATAAAGTTGTGCAAAATGGTTTTCTTTACTTCCGGAATGCCAGAAGTAGTACATTGATAATATCAAGAATTACAAAGATGCCTAGAAATAATAAGCAAGTTTATCAAAGTAGAACACAAAATTATCATAAAATTTTACACTTATCAGAAAACCTAGACATCCTTCTCTGAGGCTTTTGCTGAAAAAAAGTAAAAACTTAATGTTAAGGATTTAATTCTGTCTCCAAAATGATACATTGCACCCTAACACTTAGTACTTATGTAACCTTCCTGGAAATCAGAGTTGTAGAGATTAATTCTTAAGATAAGGTCATAGTGGAGTAGAGTGGATCTTTCATCAAATAAGCTTTATGTCCTTATGAGGAGACAGAAACAAACAAGGGGAGGTCAACCATGTAACAATGGAAACAAAAATTGAAGTGATGTATCTACAAACCCAGGAGTAACGAAGATTGCCAGAAAACACCAGAGGATAGAAAAGGCAAGAAAGTATTCTATACTGTATGTTTCAGAGGAAACGTGACCTGACAATACATTTTTGTCATTTTTAGACCCAAATTTGTAGTGCTTTGTTACAGCAGATCCAGAAAACCGCTACCCTTACATTGACATGGAAACTTATGTGCAGAAACTTGCAACAGCATTATTTGTGATCATTGAAAACTGAAACCATTATTCCAGTGACAGAATATTAAATGGGTGAATGGATTAAAAGCTAAAAGCAAAATGAAAATATCTGTGGTCCAGTTGACTACAAAGTTATGATAAAAGAAAAGGATGATAGACATTTCAGAATTCAATTGTCC